AAGAGGACAGGTGACCCACCACAATTACAGGACATTTTGAGAGATGCTCATAGTCCCCTGGAACTAGTCGACCTAGGAGGGCAAGGAGCAAAAACTGTCCTTTATGTCCCTCTGACCAAATTATTATAGGCCTCAAGATATGTCTGTTAAATATCGAAGGTTAGTTCCACCAGTCTGGTACTTTTAATTACTATGTGTCATATAGATAAATTTTGGGCAAAGATGAATTGTTCCCAGATAATCCTTACCTAAACATATATCTGCTATGTATAATTAGTCAGTAGGTGTTGGAATAATATGGTTCCCTATGGTTTTCAAAACTAGCTAAGCATTATTTGTCTCTCGCATTGTCTCATCCCTCCATCATGGTTTTCCCACTTAAGGTGCCCCCATTTCCCCCCTTTCTCCCTTACTAATACCCTTCTCCTATGGTCCTACCTCTCTTGAGCTCCTTCTTTCCCTTTATCCCCTAGGTTCCTTGTATACGCTTCCCTCCCCCTCCCTTAAACTAACCCAAATTTTTACCCATATCTCCCTTATTAAGGCCTGTTTCCTACTGTACTTCTCTTTCAGGTTATTTCTTTTCCTTTACCTCACTGTTTCCTTACCCTTGTCCTGGTTCCTGCAGTTATGTCTGTTTGCATAATTATTTATCAGAGTCTGATCCTAGGATCCACATATGAGGGAGAACATGTCGATTTTTTTTCTGAGTCTATGTTATTTCACTTAGTATAACAGTTTCTAGTTCCATCCATTTGCCTGCAATTTCATGATTGTATCTTTACTGCTGAGTAAAACTCTGTCATATAAATGAACCACATTTTCATTATCCACCTGTCAATTGAGGGACATTTAGGTTGCTTCCATCTCTTAGCTATTGTGAAAAGAACAGCAACAAACTTGGATGTACAAGTGTCTCTGCAATAGCATGAGATCATTGGGTATATGCCAAGGAGTTGTATAACTGGTATAACTGGGTCAAATGGTAGGTTCATTTGTATTAAGAGTGTTCCACACTGCTTTCCAAAGGGGTTGAACAAGTTTGCTGCCCCACCAGCAGTGGATGAATGTTTGTTCCTCTTTCCCCACATCCTCTCCAACATTTGGTATCATTTGTTCTCTTGATCTTAGCCAATCTGACTGGGGTAAGATGAAATCTTAAAGTGATTTTATTTTGCATTTTCCCTAATTAGTGATGTTGAACATCTTTTAACATGTTTCATAGCCATCTTTACTTCTTCTTTTGAGAACTCTCTGTTCAGCTCCTTAGCCCACCTTTTAATTGGGTTACTTCTTGTCTTGATTCTCCGTTTTTTGAGTTCGTTATATATTCTGGATATTAAACCTCTGTCGGATGTGTGGCTGGTGAAGATTTTCTCCCATTCTGTGGGTTTTCTGTTCACATCCCTGGTTTTCTCCTTTGATTACAGAAGCCTTTTTAGTTTAATGAGGTTCCATTTGTTAATTCTTGCCCTTGTTTCCTAAGCAATTGATGTCCGGTTTAGAAAATCCTTTCCTATACCTATATCTTGTAGGTTTTTACCAATGTTTTCTTCTAACAGTTTCAGAGTTTCAGGCTTTACATTGAGATCTTTGATCCATTTGGAATTGACTTTTGTGCAGGGTGAAAGATTGGGGTTTAATAACTAAAACTTTTTAAATAGAGTTGCTAGATGATAATTATAAATAAAAATTTTGTTTTGTGTGATTATATCTGTATTTTATTTTATGTATATGAGTGTTTTGCTTACATGTATGTAAGTGCACTGTGTGTGCAACATCTTTACTTTTATACTGACTGGAAAATACTTGTTTCTTGAATAGTTGTTCAAAGTATGATAGAAATTGGCATAGTTGCTACATCTTCAGCTTTGAGGTGGAATTCTGATAAGCACCCACAGTAAAAAGTTTAGGATGCCTGCATACTGTTGCATTGCTAAAAAGACACCCACATTGATATTTAGTCTTGGAAAAAGTAGCTTATTAGGGACACACATATTTAGTTTCCATATAATAGAAATGCAAAGAGAGAAGTCTTTCTGTGTATGTTGTAGATACTGTATTTCTTTTAATACTTTGGAGTCTTAAAGTTTCCATAAGTTAACCAAAGAATACTTTATATTCTAAAGTGAAAACTAAGAAATTTTTACTTAAAAATTAATTGAATTAACACGCAAGCTTGTTTTGTTGTGGCTTTGAATAATTGAACAGTAGACGGATTGATGAAATCTAAATTAGGAGCCACTTTTTACTGTTTAGAGGCATCATTGACCCTCTGCAGTCAGTAACACATTTAACAATGAAAGAAAGACCAAGTGAGATGGCTGCTCTTGTGATTTTTCAGCTGCCCAGGCACTTGGTCACATTAAAAAAACAAAATCAAAAACTTTCTGCACATTTTTGGTAAGTTTAATGGTTACTAGTTGCCATGTTAATACCAGATTCTGAACAAAGAGTGGAAAAACAATATGTAGGTTAGGCGAAGGAAGATTTGATTCTATTCTGTGGCCACACATAGTTTTTTTATTTGTTTCGTTTTTTTGTCTTTTTGAGACAGGGTCTACCTGTATCCCCAGCTATCATGGAACTCACTGTGTAGACCAGGCTGGCCTCAAACTCAAAAAGATCCACCTGCTTCTGCCTCCCAAGTGCTGGAGTTAAAGGCGTGGGCCACCATGCCTGGCTACATAGCTTTTTTTTTTTTTTTAAACGTTTCTTTAAAAAAA